GTCTCACTATATAATTTCATTTCCACCTACATTTATTTGTTTGTTGTATTTTGGGGGGATATTAATTGTATGCTTATTTATTCACTGAGCATTTATTTATTTCTCTATTTATTTTTAAATATGGTAGATCTGGTCCTCCATAGATTCAAGCCTCATTTTCCTACATATAATCAGTGAATCTAATGTTAGCTTAGCTTATATGAAGTTTTACATGTAGCATTAATGATTTTATATCACATTGCTACTGCTGTAAGAACACTTTCATGAATGAGTTAAACTTAGTTATTTAACTTAGTTATTTAATCCATTCTTAACTCTTTGAGAGAGCTATTAGCATAACGATGCAACCAAGAAGAAAACCATACGGTCTCAAGAGGTGGGATTTCCTAAAAGGTAGCCAATCAGAGGCTTTACTTTATCGACTATGTTTAAACTAAAATAAATGTAATAAATTCATTGTTAATTTCTAATTTTCTTAACAGATTTTGGTCATATTTAATATATCGTATTGGGATGTTATATAAAGTGGTGCATAATGGTGATGGGAAATACTTATGGGAAACATTAATCGAAGAATGTGGACTAATAGTTATAGATGAGAGAAATCTATCGTCACTCTAAAGACATTGTAAAACACAGAGGTGGAAGCATCATGCTGGGGACAGGAGGAGGCTTGGAGGATGGAGGGGAAGGTTTTCATAATGCAACTGCACACATACATGTTTTCTCTACAAAATCACACTATGCTGGGATCATTGAGTGAAAGTTTAAATGCTAGTTTTTCTGCAAGACAATATTAAACCTTTACCTGTTTGGCATTTTCTGACCAGCAGATGGAGCCAAAGCATCATGTCCTCGCTGCATCTTTTTAATTGGAGGCGGAGGTCTCTTTATATTACAGTTACGTTGATCCTAATTTCAAATTAAACAGAACAAATTAAATTGGCTATTGTATTAGAAAAAGAAAAATTTCTTTATCGGTGGAAAAAGCCTGTTTGAAGAGACTCACCGGGAAATGACTGCTGACAGGACAGGGTGGTGGAGGTCTCCTAGGGGGGTCTGGTCGCAGCTGCCTTTTAGGGTCCTGTGGAGGTAAAGATGGAGGGATTGGAAAGGTTGGTGAAACCTGACGTGGTTTCTGTCCCTGAGGAGAAGAAGCAGCGGGTGGGAAGGGGGCCTGGTTCTTCTTTCTGATTTCTTTCTGCTCAGCTGCCTGATAGGGGACGGGAGGAGGCGTCATCGCAGGACGCTTGATTGTTTGTCTGGGCCGAGCTGAGGGTAACGGGCTCAGGTGAGATGGAGACTGTGGGTTTAAAAAAAAAAAAAACAGAACTTTAAATGAAATTATTCTGCTAAGAAACAATCAGCCATTTCCCTGTCATAAAGTATGCTTGATCTTTATTACCGAATCCTCCTTATCCACCCGGAAAGTTGCGTTTGGATGACCGTTGGAAGGAGCCTCAGGCTCCATCCGTTTCCCTTCAGCTGCATCCAAACATCTGAGGATCAGAACCACAGTGGATATAAACACCAAAAAAACTGGAGAAGAACTTTACATCTGCAGCTGTTGCTGTACTTTTTTATTTAACAATGTAAAATTACTCACTTTGGCACTCGTTGAGGCGGGACAAATGTATGATTGTAGCAGAACCAAAGCCCGAAAGTAGCCAAAACCACAAAAAGAACCAGAAGGAGGAGAACTGGAATTGGAAAACCTACAAATAACAGAGAACCCAAAAAAATGAACGTAGATTAACTTCCTCGTCTACTAGAACAGAAGCTAGAACCACAGCAAGCGTTTAACCTGGACTCTTTGGAGGTCCACTGTCCACACTTCCTCCTGGCCCGCTGTGGTTGCACCAAGGAGGAGCCCAGCCGGGGTCGCAGTGGCAGTTCTGGTTGTTGTTACACAGCTGGAAAGACAAGAACAGAGCGGAGAGCGTCATGGCGAATTAGCGCCTTGAAATGAGCCACTTTAAAACACTTTCCCACAGGAAAGAGAAACACGGCTGCGCTGATGACATACAGGATGAGGGTTTTGCTTGGAAGCACAGAACAAGACTTACAGCTGTTTTAGACAAAAAACCAAAAACAACATAGCCTATACTGCTTTCACTTCCTTTTTTAAGCCTTACTTGACTTAGAATATATGAATTAAAAACCTTCAAGCAAATTAAGTTGAAATCAATTTAATCTTAATATATTTCTATTAGAAAATGATATTCATTTGTTTCCCCTTCTCTCTTTCTCAAAGTAAAGTATTTAAAGATTTTGGAGATCGGCCTGTTTTTCAGTGTAGTCCTGTTTCTCTGACTGTGACTAGCTGGATGTGCTCTCTTCATCTTCTGACATGGGAGCCTTCGGGGGGCCGCCTTTTACAGCTGCTTTTTGTGTCTCTGCTTCTGTCTCCTTGAACCCCAGTGG